ATGAGCTTATGGACACCGAATGGTTATTCTGAGGTAAATGTATATTATGTTGCAATGTTTACAAGCTTTACACGTTTTCCGCAGTTTGACACGGAATGAGACATTTCAGTAAGTTGTACTGTAGGCTCTCTTATAAAATAGCCTACCTTTTGATGTTAATTCATGTTCATTATGTACTATAGTAGTAAAGAGAAAGATTAAATGGGTTCACTTGCCGCTTGAACTGAGGCGCTAAAGTGATCGCGCCTGCTGCATTAATGAGCGCCAAAACCGTATTTATTGTTTGAATTTCGTTATTAATTTGAACAATTTTAAAGCTGATACTTTGTTTATTAAAAATTAACAAAGCACAAAGCTTTTTTGCGATTACTGGACGGCAAGTGCGTTTCAAATAGTATGAAGTTCACGCATTAACAGAACACAGCATATAGACTAAGATCTTGATAAGAAGATGCCATATTAGTAATGATTATAAACGAGAATTGTTAACGATATTGCCAATGTCCACACAGCTGACAGCTCTACCCGTTGTAGTTTGTTCAAGTTGTGCACGAAATAGACACTGCTTTAGACGCACGTCTCCGTCATTTCGATCTCTCTCGCGCTGCTCAACTGAGCTGCGTTTATCAGGTGTGTATCAGCGCTGCAGAGATGAGCACGGTTTCAAACTTTTTTCCCACTAAAACTTTGCTGCGCATCGTCTCAGTTTAATACGTGAACATAACAAAAGATGTGATCGCAAAACAATCAGGAAAAAAGGCATTACATGCTAATTTTTGTCATAACATGTAAATATATAGTCGCCAGTGGCGACCTCAGCGAAAACTTCACTCGAAAATTAATATTTTTGGTTGCAAATGCGACCCTTTTAGTCGCAATCTGAAGCCCTCTCTCGCGTCGCATGAACGGAGAATTACACACACAATTGTGTCGAATTGTCCGTTTTGACGAGTATTCACGTAAACACAGTTGATTACGTCTTAAGTGAACGTAAACAGTAGGGACAACGTGTATCAGTACATTGCATCCATTGCAGCTGTGCATTCGGTTTCATAGGGATAGCAGCCTAATTTAGTTGCTATTGTCCGAGTCAATAATTGATGTTATCATGTTAAAAATTTGTTAATCAAGCAACAAAAGAAAGACAGAAAGTCTCTCACTGCTCTTGACTGAAAAACTTTAGTAGCCCTAAAGATTAATCTAAATTTATTCATAGAAATAAATATGTCTGCTTGAAAGAATGAAGAATATGGTTAACAAGTTGCTATAAAGAATGCCTAATTAGTAGGGGTGTAACGATTCACTCGTTTTATCAATGCATCGATTACAAACCCTGACGATGCATATGCATCGATCTTGAAACATGATTTTTTAATCGTGAATCGCCGATTTCGGACAGTAATTGATTTAAAACGCTAAGAATCGAATGAATCGCGATTTCTATAGCGATTCAATGCTTTCAAAATATATACACATTAAATTAATTACGAATTAATGGAGACCTTGAACAGTGTTCGTGCCTCACATCTCTCCTTCACGCGCTCCACTATTTACCGCCTGTGACTGTCACAGGATTGCGCTCGCGCTCAGTTCGTCTCACCGACACATTTTCTGAGCAGCTGATGTGTGATCTCTCCTTAGTACTCGTGGCCAGTCATGTTAAAGTGAAGTAGTTTTCTTTTCTGTAGTTTTTCAATGGCTCTCGGTCATACCGACAACATTACCTGAGCAGTCGAAAGCTGCGCATTTATTGCATGGACGGAGCAAAAATGTAAGTGTCTAAAGTAGTGCTGGGCGGTATACCGGTTCATACCGAATACCGGTGTTTAGTTTTCTTATTATATGAATTTTTAAAATACCGCAATACCGGTGTCGTTTAAATGTTCGGAACGCGTTTGAGGGGGTGTCTCTTTTCACTGTTGCACTGTGGCGAGGACACAGCTATATGTGTTACTAAGCGTGAAAGTTCCGAAACTGAAGCTGTAGAACTAATAGAACGTGATGACAGAAGAACTCGTCCACAATATCCACTGACCGCCACACATATCCACCACCCACTGCCATCAGCTCCCGCGCCTCACACACACGAGCGCGACTTCAGCGCTAGATTTAGCAACTTTCAGACGCTTTTAGCGTCAGCTCCCGCGTCTCACACACACGAGCGCGACTTTAGCACTAGATTTAGCAACTTTCAGACGCTTTTAGCGGCTTTTTCCCATAAAATATATATACTGACAAACCTAGCGACTTTTTTGGATAAACCTTAGCTATGATTCAGTTGGAAGATGTCGCCAGTGCTGCCCCGCGAGCGCAAGGTCTGACTCTCCCAGCGCAGTGTCACCTCTCTCGGCGTCTGTTCTGTGCAGTGAGCAGCAGAGAAGCATCGCTTTCAGCTGGCCGTACCACAGCCAACTCGTCAATAAATGAGTAAGCACCTGTCGTTCCAAGCACCTGTCGCTTCCTGATTGTTTGGAAGTATAAATATGAGCATAGTTCGTCTATTAATATAATGCAAAATTTTTGTTTTTGTTACTCAGACGCAGGCAGTGCGCTGCATGAGACAAAAAAGTAATATAGCCAAAACAACCGCATTGCCGCTCAACATGCATCTACTGTAGATGCATGTTGATTTTATCAGACGATGTCGCGATTATAAATGAGAGTGACTCCTGGTTAACATGTATAAATGGGTCGTGTTTCGTCACTATTTAGAGTGGTATTTTTCTACAATATTCACTCATCATGACAGTAA